TCGGATTGGCGTCCACGGTCTGTAGTGATAAATGAAGGGCAGTCGAAGTTTGCTGCCCATAATTCGATGAAGACGCCGGCCACCGCTTTAGCAGTAATGTCTTTGATAGATATTGTTTCTAATTATCGAGTCAAATGGTCTACATAAGTTAAGAGCTATGGGTATCCATTTGAATCTGGCGAAGATTTTACCAGATTAACCTAGTCAAAACGAGCGTCGGACGTTGTGAAAGAGCCTAAGGGACACTTGTTTTGTCTAATCCCCTTGGATTTTTGGCAGTTTAATGAGGATCTTGTCCACTTCCTTACATTTTTATTCATACTACGACAGCAAACTCGTTCCGCTATGAGATTGACGGTTGCGCGAACACGGATAAGAAGGTTTATGCAACGTATTGAAGACATTGCGTCGTTAATGTGTCGGCACGATTGAATAATCTCTACTTATGAGTGTGTCGCACAATAAGGTTTTTTTACCGGTTCTCATAATTTTGGTTCGCACATCCAGATTTGTCGAAATTAACACGTGCTAACGATGGGCATCTCCAGCACGAATTGTTGGCGTGCCCTCGTAAGCAGAAGAAAGCTAAAACAACAACACAATAGTCAGAACTGGTGAATGCTTCAGGAGCAAGAACGTGAAATACTAGCACAACATATGTATTTTCGAAAATTAAAAGACGCAGTTCGGGCACGAATAGGGAAAACTTATTTCAATATGGTCCTACCCACCATTTTGCAGGTTCAGCTTACAGACTGTCGTTAGTAATGATAAATGTAATGATTTTTAATACTGTTACGTATCTTCTTTTGAAACCATGCGAGCTTAAGAAGGACGATGCCTTGGAAACTGTTTAAGGAAGTTCCACACGACGAGGTGTCTTCGACTGTACTGGTTATCACAGAAAGAAGTCACATATCCGTGGAAAATCGACAAATTTAATTGTAGTGTTTGTATGAAATAGCGATTCTTTTGTACTTTATTTCGAATAACAAATACAATACGCTCGTTTGTGCTCACCTGGTTCTACCTGACTTAAACTGTGCTATTTAGGGAATTCCTAGTTTGTATAATAATTCAGATACTTGTAGTCACCACAGTAGTCCAGTTGTCGAGACTCTCGGGAGGTGGACTTGTTTAAAGATGAGCTAAGAGCAAAGACAGGGTGTACAAGATCGTTAAACAGGATGAATTCTCGCCCTTCAACGGAGTGTCGAAAGCGCCGTCCAACACAATACTTGACCAAGAGTTTCCTGACGAAAGTGCATTATCTCGACTCAACTTCTAGCAACTGTCTCGAGAAGAATACCAAAGGCTGTCATGTGTGGTTAACCCATTGTTATAAAACTCCTCAGTCGGCCGAGTCGTATGCATCTACTGTGATATTAATTGGTGCCTTAATGTCCTGGTTTGCGGGCAATGTAACCTTGGCAATAAGATTCTTTACTGTGGAGAATGCTTCATTCGTGATATCGTCCAAATTGATGGATTACGTATTTCCACGAAGTTGGTCTGTTAAAGGTCTCATAAGGAACGAGCAATTTGGTATGAACCGTCTTTGTAAACTTACGAGGCCGTTAAACGTGCGCAGTTACTTGATTGTGGTCGGTTCTGGGCAATCCAGAATAGCCGCCACTCTGCTTTTTTAGAGGTCGCATTACTTGACCATCAAACTTGTACGAGAAATTCCATAGGGTTGGTGACGACTTGACATTTCTGAACGTCTTCAGTAATGCTGTGTTTTCGTAGTCGTTCGGATATAATGTCCAGATGCTGGAGATGAGATCGTTTACGGCAGCATTTTTTAAGCAGAAAGACATGCGTGAAAATTCGCAGAGACTGAAAGGCGCGATGATAGAGGTCTTAGGAATATCGTCAGCAGTCATGCGAATTTTGGTTAAACTCCTCAACGGAGTCGATTTTCGAGGAAACACTTGTACATTTCAAGGTAGCTGTCAGATCATGAATGTGAGGCAACGGGCAACGATCAGGAATAGTTTTCTCATTTAGTCGCCGTTAATCACTAGTTGGACGCTAGTCCCTGCTGTTCTTTTTAAGGACCAAATGCAAGGGAGATGCACATATGCTGTTTGATGGCCGAATGATTCATATGATCGACTTCTTTTTGGCCAACCTAAACTTTTCGAAAGCTGGTCAGAGCTCTTTCGAGAAAACAGGTGGTCCAGTAGTCGTGAAGTGGCGCGATAATTTTGGTTGTGTTTTGTGTAGTTCGAGGTACTTGTCGAGCATTAATTGAATGTAGAGGTTGATTATGCGCTTGAATGATTTGAAACCGGATAATGAAGTTACACAAACAGGTAAGTTAATATTTCCGTCCATCAACCTCCGTTTACGCATGTCGATGAGTAAATCATGATATTGTCTCAGGTCTATACCAATGATTGGCATAAAGGCACCTGCAACAACGAAAATCCAGTGGATGGATTTGTATATACTCACGTTAAAGTAACACATATCACACCATGTGTGGCGATCGGTTTACTATTTGCCGCCTGTACGGTGAAAACTGCTTTATACTGTCGATAGTTAGGGTTTGCGGAAAGAACGCTTAATTATGCATTAGTATTGACAAGATAGCGAACCTTCCTTATCACATTAGTGATGGCTGACAGATGATTATGCTTGCTGGCTAGGGAAGCGGTTAAAGTGTGCCAGCTCGGGAGTTTCCTGAAAGACTTCTTGTGTCGGTTGGTTTAGAGTTCGGAAAATTGCAAGGTTTTCTGTGATTTTGAGATTTGCCGTAATGATTATGACACTAGCACCAACGGGATTTATCTGTCTCTCGTGGTATGGAAAAAAATCTTCACCGTGACGAGCATAATTGAGGAGTTGGAAAGCATCTTCGATTACAATGATTATCCAGATAGTAATTAAATATAACAGAGGTCTGTGACTTTGTTTTGTGCTGTTTCAGGTTCTTCTTCGACAGAATCAACCTGATTGTTGGGGGTTCTGGTGATCTCCAGAATCTGATCAGTATATGCAGCTAGTTCGTCTACGGTGTTATTTTGAAATGAGATGAGGGCTGCCAGCACCTGTAGGGGAGCTTTGTCATTAAAAGCTGTTTAGACAAGCTCTCGTCAAAATTCTGTCAACAAATGAACATTTTGTGCCTGAGGTTGGCCCTAGTTACACTGATAGAAGAAACCAAACTAGTGGTGAATAGGTCTCTATTATGATCGTGCGACATTCACAGTGGAGTGGCAGGTTACCTGTTCGAACACACAAAGCTTTCCAACATTCAATACCAGGTTATTAAAAATACGCTGCCTATACGAAGTAAGTGAACCAATGTTTGAGCTCTATTGTTTTGATATATACTTAGTTATTTGTGGTCAATTCTTAATTAGTCAACCTTAACTGTTACAAACTCTAATTGGTAGTAGCATTTCTGACTCTGAGCTATGTTGCAAATCAATGTTGTGGAAGAGCTTGTCTAATCTTCGTCCGTTTGTTAAGTTTCCATGTTTAAGTATAACTCTTTTTAGAGTTTCATATGGTTTCACGACATCACTAGCAAAGTCTGACATACCTGTTGAAATCGCGCGGTAATGCTCTCACTACTGCGAGGAATCGTACACGTGGGTCTGACACTGCGTGTTGGTGGGAGTCAGCATCTGTGTAGTAGAACCAGGCTTCTATATTATTGGGCCGAAATGGCATTAGCTGGAGTGAGGAATGCGAATGAGGTTTAATCCTTAGTGACTTAGGTGTCCGTTCCATCAAGATGATGATATATTTGAAGGATATCGACATTTTGGGAAGCGTCTAATCTAAGCTTGCTAACGGTTGTAAGAGGTGTATAGCATTGCGTACTCACTCATAATTTGGTGCCGATGCGTAACCGAGTATGCCCAGTTAGGTGTATCCATGAAAACTATCGAGGTCAGCATGAAATGTCAAAGACTTACAGAGCTATTTATTTTGGGAATTTTTTTACTGCCATACTATTTTAGTACCATCCCTAATTTTTTGATGGATAGTCAATATGCGAGTGTTAATACATAACACTATACAGAAATCGAAATATCTGATAAGTCATTAACCTAATCGACCTGAGCGTTGATGTGTGATTATTCTTTTTTTGACAGCGAAAAGACTAGATAATGAAACGACAATACGTACAAGAGGCGGTCAAGTACACCATATAATAAGGCTGAGTGTGATATATGAACCAGTTATATTCAGATTTGTGCAAAAAATACTTTAATGATCAGAAACAGACCAAGGCGCGAGTCAGAAATGTAGAATACATATGGATGTATTATCTTGAATCTTTAATTGTGCACTCAATAATCCATAAAGCAATAACCATCTTCCAACACCATATGAGACTATCACATTTTTTTTACATGGCACCACCTGATCATTTTGCATTGGTCAACCTTGAGTCTAACAAAAGTTCCTTTATTTCATCGGGACCATCAGCCGATTAATATTGTACCATCACTGAAAACCTAGAAGCACTGGACGGTTGTTTCATTCTTGTATGGGACTCACTGGTTATGAGTGCCCACGATTCCGCACACGGATTTTGAATGCGGAAACTCTGGTCTCACACAAATGCTAAACCCCTGGACGGTCGTCCAGGTTTTCAATTTTGGTTTACATTGATCGGTTCATGATCCCAATGAAATTCAACAAATCCCACAACACCGAAATGAAAAATTTACTAGGTAAATTATGCAAACCTTGGTATGTATTGGCCAAGTGATAATAAAAATAAACTTTTTCACCATCCTGTCTACTGATTATTCCCGAATATTTTTGAAAAGTTACAGATCTGGAAATCTTGCTTTAAATAAATAATTACTGCGTCGAATGCACCAATAATTTGAGAGATGCTTGACCTTCAAGTGCAACCACCTCCATGAGGTCTTGTGGTGACAACAACAGCTGATTGCAGTAACATAGTTTTCAAGTCCACATATACTTACAATATTTTGTGTATAAAGTAGCGTCTAAACAGCTCAATCAAAATGAGCGATGAAAATTCAGTTTTGGAAAAGTTTGTATTAGAGGTATGGTTTGCTATTGTTTCCTTAATGGTCATTACAAAGAACGATTGCAACTTTGATATCGACAATGTTGATTTTAAAACGAAGGAGGTAACTAGTGGATTTGTATTAATTTTTCTAGGAAATATTGCAAGAATGCCGTAAAAAGTTTGAGAACCATACGGTTCCTGGATTGTATACTTGTCTTTGTTGTTTGCGAATATTAACGCGCGACAATATCCTGCGGAAGGAATTTACATCCGAGTTTTTTTTGTCCCAAATTTTCAAATATGCCTTCGAATATAAATACAACCTTGAGTATCCTAAAACTAGTCTAGAAGCTCTAAAATCTCTTTCCAATATTGTATTTAAAGAGCCATGTGTCATAGGACCACTTAAGTCAGTCGTACCTCTGTATTTTAACTGTTTAGGACCATGGGTTTCATTAAAAATGTGTTAGAAAGTGTGGATATCCTCATTGGAACTGAAGATAATGAGAAGCTCCTGTTATGTCTTAAGCTTCTTTTTCTTGTTACCGCTCTGGATTCAGCTTCAAGGTATTGTAATATTTAAATCACATAGAATTCAGACAAGAACTAATGGAATCCAACGCTCTGCGAATGCTTACGAGAGTTGTGAATATGAAAAGATTAAAAATAACCGATTTGAATGTTTCAGCAGAAGCACTTAAAGTTGTATATAATGTACTCTACTCAACTAGAGACGAAGATATAACTAAAGAGGTTTCAAAATATTTTGCTAATTGATGTGCTAGTTAAGTGACGACATCCAGAATCTGGTGGTAATGTTGAGGTGCATTTTACAAGATCCAGTATTGAATGAATTCACTAATTATGCTTTGGTCAGGTAAGTAGTTACGTATTTTACACATGTAGGCATTAACAGTTAAAAGTGAGCAGTTACAATGTTTATTTTAACTGGTAGTTTTCGTTAGATAAGTTTGGAACTTCAAATCTTGAATAAGTTGGTAGTTAGTTAGGATACTTATTTTTGTAATGTTCTTGTGACCATTTCTAAACACTAGATAACATACAAGCTATCTCTTACGTCCTCTGTAATGCGAGTCAAATGTTGTCCATGTTAGACCTATACCAATTCGCCCATCTGGATATCAATATAGAAAATGATCTTATGTGTAGTGTTAATCGTTCGTCTCACTTAAATCTGTCAAACAGGAAACTGCATACTTTTATGATACATATAGAAACCAATACCGATAAGCAACCTCAATTATAGTGAGTTTTTAAAATGTGTTTCTTATCTTCAACGTGTCAAAGTTACTTTCTGACCTAAGTTACGTTGCTCTTGTTATTAATGCTAAGCATAGACGTGGGTACTAGCTTTTCCTTAGATAGCTGTACGCGGTCTAATTGAAATGAAATAAAAGTACTCAACTAAACGTTACAACCTATAAACTGTTAAAGCAAAAAACAGCAGTTCACACATATTCTTCTGTTCACCTCGAGAACATTGTTGATAAATCTTTCGTTGAAGCTGATACAATATGATTATCGAGATTTCAGCGCTAAAAAACTTCAAAATTTATTGTAGCTGCGCAGAACTACCAAATTTTTTTTATATAACTGCAACTTCTTGTCTTTTGTTTTGGTTTGATATTTTTAGCAATCGTATTTATAAAAATATCTGATTTCTTATTTTGAACTTCCTTTGGTATATTTTTATGATCTGTAATCAAATTGGTATCACTATCTTAAAAACACGAACTTTGATTATCTGAATACTTTCTACAGGCTTCCACATCGTGCACCGTTTGCAGACTCGAGAACTAGGTGGAAAGATCAGAGCGGAGTTCAGTTTATGACACGACTTCGCGACATAAAAGATATCTTATGACATTTTTGGTTTGTTACGACCCCCCCCCCACTTATGATGGTATACATTGGGTAACTCAGTGGCTGAAATTGTCATCAGAATAGAAGCCACTAGAGTAGTCAGTCAGTAACAACGTAGAACTTTGTACGTACATACATCAGTCAGTCAGTAACAACGTAGAACTTCGTACGTACGTACATCAGATCGAGTTGCCACACCACCTTAACACAGAGATGCAGTTGTCGATTCAAATCCCATTGTGGTAAAGGTAGCAAGAGTGTAAGCAGTGATCGGGAAGATTAGGGTTTGGAGAGAGAGACCCTGGCGCAGTTTCGATACACCTAATTAAAATAAACTTCTGTTACCAATGGAATCTTGGCTGACTCGTGCCTTTTATTAAATACTATCTGTTTATTGATTCTACCACTCCTCTTTGTCTCCACAATATTATCGCTTCATCTGTGTGGTGCATTTTCTATTAACCAGTTGTACCATAATTTACGTGCTTATAATGAAAAAGGATTTACTCCTAGGATGGTAAGATTACTGTCTTACATAAAGTTTGCTTCTTGAAGACTGGTATTTCATACCGAACTAAAAATTTGTGGTTTGTACGACATCTCTGTAAGCATTATTAACCACATATATAAACCAAGTTATTTTATTTTGATATTCAGAGAGTAAAATAACTTATCACTGAAGTAAAACATTTCAATTTTGTTTGTCTTCACATAACTGACCAGGATAAAACCATCTAGGTGTCAAAGTTATGATCAATAAATGTTATTGACCCTTATGGCCCCCAAATGCCCTGGTATGGCCGAGAGTGGGATGGGCCCGCCCTTCCTCTCGAAATGCTCTCACACGGCCACGCGTACTTAGCCTCTGCCAGGGAAGTTCTACTCACTGGCTTCTCGTGGCGGGGTGTTGTTTACGAAAATGAGAGGAAGGAAAGCGAATGTCCGGCTCTGTAACCGGATCCCAAACCAATGGTGCACATGGGCTGCAGTATCCTGGAGGAACAAATGGCGCATGAACCAATTTGTGGTCACCGACTACCATGGGACTGCATCTCCTCACGATGCCTCACTGCCTTGTGGGTCAGACCTTTAGGTCAAAGGTTCGGGGTGTTGCCCCCTAAGAAAACTACCTGCTTTGGTTTGGGCACCCGGGCAGTATCACAGCCCTCTTGTACTAATATTTGTGTTCAAATAGATAAATAAATGGTTGTTTTTGTTCTCGTCTTTCTTTCAGCCAGGTGGTCAACGTATTGAACATCATTCCGAAACATTTATACAGATACCTTTTAGATGAAAATTCTAGAGATCATGTCACTGATAGCTCAATCAAAGATTCGGCTTCAGAAAACAAAACAAATGAGATGTCTTCAATTGAAATTTTGATAGCCTTTCTTCACTCACAGCTTAAGTTGGTACGTCTTCTTCCATACACTTTTTTACAACGTCCCCTCATAGTTATTCAGTTGGCTTCTTAAAGTGTTATATATCTACAAGTCTTGTTATTTAAAATAACGTCCTTTATGTCAGTCTCTTATATTCGTACATAAAAGACAAGTGCTGAAAAGTAAAGGATTACTATGTTTATCGTTTTGTATTATGTGGACTAAATAAATAATTCACACTTAGTATAACATTTCCAGTCCCTTGTAATAACATTTTAGGATGCTCGTAAAGAATCCGAAACTGCTAACGATGTACGAACCGACGAAAGAATTTGTCCAATTTTGAACTGTCTTACACGAGCAAGTAAATCAAATAGTCAGATCAGAAAATTTTGTCGCTTAAAGGTGAGTTAAAATTTGAGCCAAGTGATGAATGGATAACTGGTAATTATTTTTAACTTCATTAATATGCGTTCTTTAGATAAACAATCTGATCAATAAATATTTTTTTAATAACTACCTTAAATACTATTATGTTAATGGAAATAGTTGTGTTAACCGATTTATAACAATAAATGGCAAAATGGGAGTTATAAACTACTGTTCACTAAGTTTTGTTTCTTCTCCTATCAACCATAAACCATCTGTTTATTTGTGTACATAGACTTCACAACCCACTACCGTTGATAATTATTACATAAACCTCATATGTATGCGACCGAATACTTTAAATTATTTTTACTAGTTGGGTCGTTCACTAATTGTGACTTTTTTCACTGTACATTGAAAATGATTTTAGTTCATTTGAATATGATATGATAAGCGCTTTAATAAGTAAAGTGACTCAGTTGCCTTGTTCATTAGTGACCACCGGGGATGTTTAGATGATGAAGCATCAGTTCGTTTGTAATTTTTTAATATTGTATGGAATGACACCTAAAGTTGTTGTTGGGCAAATGAAATTGACGTCTTAAAAGATGGATCATTTTGTTGATACATCAAACTACCATTCTACAAAACTTACACGTTACTTTTATAAATTCGCGTTTGTCGCACTTAAGTTAATATAATATTCCTTAGTTAACATCTGTAAACAGCGTTCTATAAGTTTTTCGATAACTCAAAATCTCCGACAAATATACACGAATCATTGTCAGCATTTAGTTCAGACAAGAAAGCAAGTTGCAGTATTCATATTTGGAAAATAAATGGCCCAAACGTTTGAATAACGGACATTTCGGTTTTATGTAGAAATTGAAACTAAGTGCAATAAATTTCAATAAATTTATAGTAATCCACCTTCATCTTTTTCATTTAGGTACTACCTTACCTGGGTAAGGATGTTAAACGCCTACCAGAAGATGGCGATAATATAAGAAATTAGTAAGTATTGAAATGCTTTATTTGTTCTGAACTTGATGGCCATTATTATTTTGAGATGGTGGAGAAGATTTGTAGCATCATTATTTGCACTAGTATTTTAGAAATTTCGGCTTTCAAAGCTTTATGTCTATAAAATGAAATATTTAGCGTGTATTTCGACCTAAACACTTAGCGGTTATTAATCTCCATACGTTTTTATCTGGACATTAACGTGTAGGTTTTTACAAAATAAGGTCTCCGAACAGTGGTATCGATTAGCATGTACACAAACAGAAATGAGTACCGCGTGATAATTCTGAAAAATATGCTAATGATAAACCCAATTATATGTATGAAAACAAATTTTATCCAATAACGCTTTTTGTTGACCACACATCGTTTGCCAAATGCGCAACATATTTAGCTGCTAATCTCACGTTAGGTAGACAAAACCAGTTCATTACCTGCCTAGCTGTAGATCAACAAATTAAGTAGTTAAATTCATTTCAAATTGTGTTAATACGTACGAGTTTACAACACAGTGCAAATAATTAAACAAGTAGGTTCATGGAGATGTACTAGATTTTTGTAATACTCAACATGAAAATAAAGTGATATTGTGGTGTGAGCTACTTATATTGACATAAGTAGTATATAACGTGCGTTAAAAGATCGTAATGCTCGGCAGCAAAAGATGGCGAAGACCAAGAAAGGTGGAGCAAGAACATAATGGAATTTGTAAGAAAACTTATGAACAATGGAATGGGAGACAATGGATTAGTGTTTGCAGCTTGAACAGTACAGTTTGATATGATGTATTGATAATTTGCAAATTGACGATTGACTTTATGGTATTCAGATTTTGTTGAGATAGTCTGTAATTTTCGAGCTAAATACATTCGATTGTCCCCACCCGTGTTCTTGTTCACTACAATATGATTAGCTGTTATTAACGAAGGTGCGTGCTACACCAAATAATACTGAGGTTTACTTCATTTCTTCTAACGAAGAAGCGAACGTATTTCTAGTTCTAAATTCTTACTCATATGACAAACAACAGACTACTCTAAGTGACGTAACGTATTCAGCAAGAGCCAGTGAGAATAAGTTTTACTTTTTTTTTAGCCTTTGTAAATTGCTAACACATCCAGTTCAAATTGTCGGTGAATCAGCAGCCTTATTTATCTTTGTACTTTGCAAGGAAAACAGTAAGTAGAATTATTATGCTCTTAGCGTTTTCACTTCAATAAATTATTATTCACTTTATATATCCTGTAACATTCCTTAACTAGCTATGTGCATTCAGATGGTTGTTTTAATTTTCAGTGTAGATAACTTTAGAACAGACTTTTGACACAAGGTAGGAAATGTTTAAAGAAACCACGAAAGCTGTCTCACTACTATACGGCTGTGCTGTAAAAGATCAGAATACAAACAACAAGTATATTGCTAACGAAATCAGGATTTTATCTGAAGTTTAGTTAAAAATTGTCTTAATCTATTATATATTCAGAAAATTTACAAAATGGAAATAGTCATGTCGATTTTGGGATTTTTTACATTATATACTTACGTCTGTTACTCCTCGTGGAGAGACATAAGTCGCCAACAGCATTCGCCATTCAACTCTATCCAGGGCAGTACATTCCAGTTGCTATTCATCCTTTTGATGTCTGCTTCTAATTCTCGGAACAATGTATTCTTCGACATTCCTCTTTACCACTTTCCCTTCAGAATTTAAAGTTAACGCTTGCTTCGTGACTCAGTTTGATGACTTCCGCAATGTACGTCATATCTACCTCCAACATCTTCCTTTCAATTTCCTTTTCAGCTGGAAGCTGGTTTGCTCTCTCCCATAGTAGGCTGTTGCTGATGGTATCCAGTCAACGGACATTCAGTATCCTACGTAGACAAGTGTTTATAAATGCTTGTACCTTTTTGATGATGGCTGTAGTAGTTCTCCAAATTCCACCTCCATACAATACAACTGTTTTGACATTCGCATTGAAGATTCGGACTTTGATATTGGTTGACAGTTGTTTTGAGTTCCATATGTTCATCAATTGTAGGAATGCGGATCTCGCTTTGCCAATCCTCGCCTTTACGCCTGGAACAGATCCTCCTTGTTCATCGTTGATGCTGTACAGATATGGTAAAGTTTTCACCTCTTCCAGAGTTTCTCCACCAGATGTGATTGCGTGGATGTTCTTCGTGTTGTATTCGAGGATCTTACATTCCCCTTGTGTATGTTGGTGCCTACTGATGCAGAGACTGCTGTTACCTGCATTTGTTAGTGTGTATGGGATAGAAGATCTAGGTCATCCGCGAAGTCCAAATCGTCTGGTTGCATCCGACCTGTCCATTTTATTCCGTGCTTCCTGTCAGATGTGGAGGTCTTCATAATCCAGTTAACCATCAGAAGAAAGAGAAAGGGAGAGAGTAAGCAGCCTTGTTTGTCTCCGGTCCTCACCCGGAATGTGTCGGTTAGCTGTCCTCCGTGCATCACTTTGCAGTGTAGTCTGTCGTATGAATTCCGGATGATAATATATTTTCAGTGAGAAGAGGATATTCGATATTAATGAGCGGATAAATAAAATAATTGTATTTAGGGAAAGTAAAGTAAACCAGCGGAGGAAATCCTAATCATGTATTTACTACTATCTGTAAAAGAGTAGGAGGATAATTGTAGGGTTAGAAAGATTTTTTGAGTAGAACCTGAATAATCTTACTTCAGAAATCAAAGTACACTGGGAATTATTGAAAAAGAGAAATATTTCCAGATCGAAACCATTATGTAACTACAATATTTATTATGTACAGATTTCCATCGTGACTGTTTATGCCATGTTATATTGTTTTTCTTTGCTGTGTTTAAAACGGATTTCTCAGTCAATCGATTGATATGTTTAAATAGTTTATAACAAGATATTCTGGGATTAATTATCAATACTATTTAACTTATTTAGTTGGACGAGCAGTGAAATACACAGGCTTTGGGAATTTCGCTGGATTTTTAGCGCGTCATGCTTTACTTGGGAAACCGTCAAAGGTTAATAGAGAATCTAATTGTAATGTCGAGTCAGATGGTGAATATTCTCCTACATCGACGGAATCAGAAACGGAAGAATATAGAAAGTTGAAGGAAGATGTGAACCCTGTAACAGGTCGATGGGAAATCCCACAACCGAACCCAATGGAAAACATGTCTGAAGAACAAAAGGAATATCTTGCTATGGACTTAGTACAGAAAATCGACAAACTTGAGAGGTGAGTTACCGTAAACGTGATGGGTCAAATTAAGATAAACCTTATGAAGTAACTTATAAACACATAGTTCTAAAAACCAAAGACGCTTTTTGGATTGATTTATATCCTAAAATATTGGTCCCATTTTCAGATCTGGATTAATTCAACCAGGAACTATCGGTGAAGATGGTCGAGTGAGGCCTGTAAAACATGTACTTGAACTCATTCAGACAAAAGAAGATGATCAAAAGTCAGACGAATCTGTAAACTAGGAAAGCATACGTTGAAGAGCTTTTGTGCAATAAGGTTAGTGTATCAAAAACCGAAGTCTGGACATCCACCAAAAAACAACCGAATAATACAGGCCGTTGTGCATTTGATTGTTTTTTGAATTGCTTTGATGACAACCGTTAAATACAAAAGTAAAAATTTTAATTTTACAAATGTGCTTCATCTTGATTCTTTTTACATTATAAAAACAGTGGAAAGTTAGAATTTAAAGACGTAAAAAACGCATTGTTTTAAAAAACAGTTACAACCTGGAGATGTTCAGTTCACAACCTGCTTACACAACCCCTAAAGACAACTTAATTTCTGCAACTGCACGAAGTTCCTTCAATCGATAGTCCGCTGGCAAGCCTAATTTAGTCATACAAACAAGTTGATGCTCTAGATAATTTAACGTGCCTTGTTCCTGATTTTTAATCATTTCATTTGTTGACAAATTTTGCTCGTCGTTCATCTTTTCCAAGCAGCTAGCTGCAAGAAAGGCAGAAGTTAAATGTATACAAACGGCAGCCATTTCTGTGCGTACAACTCTAAAATAATAAAAAAAAAGTAAATATTTAAAACCACAGGTCCCATCTACTAAACAAGAGAAACTGAGCAGTCATATCATATTCCTTACCGAAAGAGAAAAGAATTTTAGCACTTATTGCTTGTCAGATATGAAAGTCGATAGTCAATTAATAATTCAATAATCACTTAATGAAAATGAACGTGGCTGAGTGTTTAAATAAGTAGATAATGTTTATTAAATAAATGAACTATAGGAGGAAGATATTTACTCAATGCACGAGTCGCTTCAAGTGGTTAATAACATGTAGTAATAATGTATTGATTCGCTGTTGCGGGAAGAATAGCTTCTTATGGTATCACGTGTTTCATCAACCACAAATTATTGAGTCGGAATATACGCGCAGTAATTATTTATCTGTTTCCTTGATTTTCCTTGCAATAGTATAAAGGTATCGAATTGAGACATTAGTACGCTTTTAATTCGCTACAATCGATCGATTGATAAGTACGGATAAAAAAAACAAATCAATTTTGTTCCTTATTGACTACACCAGATAACCAAAGCAAAACGGAATGAAATCCAGTTAAGTACAGATAGCTATCTCTTCGACGTGACTTGATATGATTAACTCCCAGGTCGAGTGGAACTACATATAAAATCATGCTATTAACGCAGAACCATGAAACTATTCAGAGTTTTTCGAATTGGATCAAAAAAATTAAAGCGCCAACATGAAAATGCTCAAATAATTGCAGAGAAATGGTGATGCCTCTCCGCAGATCTAAACACTAATCACAACATACTTTATTACAGTGACAGATCATAACCTTGCGCTTATATGACAGGAATACGAAAATTTTCAGATCTAGTCGTCGCTTAAACAAGAAACTTTAAATACTACGGCGTGCCTCAGAAGATGGTCAATATCATACGGAATTCCTATGATGGATTAAACAGCAAAATTGTGCATGGAGGACAGTTGACAAACTCGTTCGAGGAAAAGACCGGTGTCAGGCAAGGTCGCTTACTCTCACCCTTTCTCTTTCTCCCGGTGACCGACTGGATCATGAAGACGTCAACATCTGAAGGGAAACGCGGGATACAGTGGACACCTAGGATGCAGTTAGATGATCTAGACCTCGCAGATGATCTGGCCCTTCTATCCCAAACGCAACAACAAATGCAGAGGAAAACGACCAGTGTAGCAGCAGCAGTAGGTCTCAATATACACAAAGGGAAAAGCAAGATTCTCCGATACAACACAGCATGCACCGATCCAGTCACAATTGACGGAGAAGATTTGGAAGATGTAAAAACCTTTACATATTTGGGCAGCATCATTGATGAACATGGTGGGTCTGATGCAGATGTGAAAGCGCGGATCGGTAAAGCAAGAGCAGCATATTTACAACCAAAGAACATCTGGAACTCAGAGCAACTGTCAACCAACACCAAGGTCAGGATTTTCAATACAAATGTCAAGACAGTTCTACTGTATGGGGCGGAAACCTGGAGAACTAAGAAAGCCATCATCCAGAAGATACAGGTGAATCTATCTGAAGATGTTTGTGGCAGTACCTTCCTATAACCAAGCACTTACTTGACATCTGTGCTGTTCAGGACAGATATTGAACTTTTTAAATTGACCAATTGAGTCATAACAAAAATAAGAAAAATAACAAGCAATCTCAACAAGGTTACACTGTATGAAACTATCATTATAATCATTATAATAATCAAATAACTAACCAGAATAAAATTCCGGGTTGAAGGCCCTTCTTTCAGAAGAACTATGACGCCTCATGATGAAAGCTGATATCCTTCGGGAGTCACGGAGCTGATAGCCCTCCTAACAACCAGAGCAACAATTAACATAGGTACATGGAATGTTCCAAGTACTAATCTTCTGATTTCTCCTTCTCTTGTTTTCCGAATTTATTTCACTAGATTATACTCCTTGAATAACATCTTCAAAACCTAATCTTTCCAATTACTGCTTATACCCTTACTACCTCTACGGGATTTGAATCGACAACTGCATCTCTGTGCTAATATGGTACGGCAACTCGAACTGATGTACATACGTACGAAGTTCTACGTTGTTACTGACAGACTGAGACCACCACCTGGTTGTGGCCAAGATGAAACTGAAGCTAGCAAAGTAATGGACAACTGGAGAAACAGCATTACAAAGGTTCAATACAACATTCCTTCGACATACTGACAAACCCAACGAATTCAAGATTGCTCTCAACAACAGATTGAAGCATTACAAGGTTTACTGAAAGAAGAAACTACTATGGAGGGCAATTAGAAAATGATCAAAGGAGCATTAACTTCGACAAGTCAGAAGGTTCTGAGACGCTAGAAACATCGTCATAATGAAGGGTAACAGGTGTAAGTAAGCAACTTGCTACAGCTCCCGGTAGTATTTTTTACCGGAATTTTTAAAATTATTTGGTTACTCAAAATTGTACTGTAAAAACAAACGAATAATCAAATAACAGCTTAATAACATCACTAGTTATTGTTTAATTTATTTAAATGACAACTCACTTTTCAATAAATGAATTAATCTTCATTAAATTAATCTCTTCTGTTACACTGGGGACTTTTGATTTTAATTTCGATAGAATCGATGCTAAATTATCTAGTTTAGTTAAATCGGTATCTTCTTTCAATTTTTTCTTGCTAGGACTATACAATACATTATCTAGTAGTGACGATTCTTTGCAAAAATTTGTAAGTTCATCTACTAGGCAAAGTAATTCACCGAAAGATCGATAAACACCAACGCCTTCGAAAAAGAGCATAAAATTGTCATGTATGCAATAAATAAGTACTTTTCATTGTAAAGATGGTTACAGATAAAAAAAACTACAGATATTTCTATTCAACATGTTAGTTTATTAAAAGTGAACCAACTTTACAATCTGCGCTATTCTTTTTTATATACAATATACAAGTGGATGTAAAATGTTACTAAAAGTTATATCTAAAGACGTAGGTAGTCATGTTTAGACATTATATATCTTGATGGTATGAACGTTTGGAAACAGATCGATTTTATGAGAAATACTTTTTTTAAAACTATTTCCCTTCTACTGACTTTGTCAGTATATCGTACAAACAGTTTCCTAATAAATTTAATGAGAAAAACAAGTACGATAGTTTGATCAAGGCGCATAAAATAACTGAAGTTATTACAGAACAATTAGTAAATAAATATTCAACTACTTACCTGAATTAAAATCACTTGGTAAACAATTTTCTGCTAAGGAATTATAGGGCTCAAGCAAGCGAGCAATACGATGACCTAGTGCAGAGTATACTGATTCGAATCTTAGCTGAAAAGCTGAGTAAGGTGAAATATTCGTACGTAAAATAAGCTCCGGTAGTATATACTTTGATAAAACTTCATCTGCAGCTTGAATACGTCCAGCAGCAAACCAATGACTTGCTTCAAGCATTGCAAATATACAAAACTGGCTACGATCTTCCGTAGAGTTTAAAGTACGTTGTTGTGAAACAGTATTGACACCTGTTTTACGCAGGTAGGCTTTTAAGCGATGTCTTGCTAATATAGCCTGAAACGAAATATTTATGGCTGAAAATATATCTAATTTCTGATGAATAATACTACTATTAATAGGTTTCAATGTTGAAAGGCATATACTCAGAATGTATTTAAAATTTACTTATGAAAGGTGGAAATCAAGCGTATATTTCATACAGAAAACAATCACCAATTAGAGATATTTGTTTCAGTTTCTACAAAAATATTTAATATTCCAGGTTTTCTATTGTGGTCTAGCTTCAATTGACTCATGATTTCAACCAGTGAAAAATATTTAAGTCAAGTTTGTAATAAAGCTGTGACCTGCTAATAAGATTTTATTCGTTATTATACAACCACTGTAACATATGACTGTTGAAAATTGCTAACCTTAAAAGACCACAGGAGTTTATGTACACAGCCTAATACAATTGTATGTATATACATCTTGATAAAAGTGGATCTGAATGATAAAAAGACTTTTACTTGAATATTGGATATGTTTACTATCTCTACACAACCTTTCTCAATTATGGTATACATATCAATTACCATTAATTAAGTAATATAACCTCACTGTTTCTGTGTCCTTAAAGAGTAATTTTTAGCTTATAGTTGTTAGCCTAATTTAACACAATTTCTCTATGGAAGTTTTGGGATTATGATATAAGGAGCAAATTAAAACAACCGAGGCAGTTGTTTCCGTCGATTTTAACAATTCTTTAATTGGGATCAATTCGCATAGATGAATATCAATCGCATACAGCATGAATGATATATTCATATTATATTTTAAACATCAAATCTACCTTTGCTTCGTGAATCCAATGAACAGGAACGCCCAAACGATTAACCACAAACGATTCAGGTTTAGTTAACGATGGTGTAGGTAGTAAAGAGATTTTATGTGACATGAAGTCTATATCCGACAAACAAGACGGAGAATTTTTATTGGAATTATTCAAAAGGCCTGAAGGCAAAACTAACGATACATGTCGACCGATGAGACATTTTACAGATGCTTCTCGAGTTTTCTCACAATCTATATGAAGCAGTACAAAAACTGACCATTCCCATAGACCTGCAGCTTCTAACTGAGTGGCGAATTCATTGCAAACACGAGTAGATATTTCGGAAAAGTCTTCATAGAAATCATCGTAAAAATGATGATATCCATAGGATACAAGAAAACGCCATAAATGCCACGACATAGCCCAATCCAAAAGATTGTCACGATCTAAAACACAAGATGATGAAGAACGTCGACTAAAGGAACAAGGATCCAATGTTCTTTGTAAAGAATGAAACTGTTTTCGACACAATTGTAGAAGATGATAAGCTGTGTCTCGAGGCCAATCTCGAAATTTGATTTCACAATTAGGACCTATGAATAATCCCACCAATAACAATAAGACATATTTAATAATTAGAAATAGAAGGACCAATTTACAATGCATCTGTGTGACATAAGAGGTGAACATACCTTCCGTCTCTTCACTAATAGGATAGTCCTTGACTGACGAAACAGCAAGATTGGGATTGATAAGTTTGTCAACTGTCGGTGGACTTGGACGTGGTACTCCTTGTTTTGTGTTAGGCTTTTGATCAGAATGCCAAGTATCACTGTACACAGATAAAATCTCACCTAAATTTGCCTGGTAATCACATATATACCATATATGTGCACCGAATGCTTGAATCCAATCAAGTTCAGCAAGTACAGAAATATTTAAAGAATTTGAAGGATGTGGGAACTCTGTAATTCCAGCTAATAAATAATACACTCGAAGCATATTAATGGGGATATGCTGGTCAAACTAAAAATAAATGAAATATATATATGGAAATTTGTGATGAATATTAACTAAATATTTAGAAGAATATTAGAAAAAACTACTTGTTAAGTTCTTATAAACATTTTCTATGAAAAAATATACCACTTTCAAACAGCAATCTGTACAAATCTCGATGATGGAAAAGTTTGTGCTGATGATGTCGTTCAGAAGAACGATGAAAGCTCCACGACCAAACCATCCAGCTCAGAGAACAAAACTCCACCAAAAAGATGGAAAAGTCTTCCTATACAAAGTAGAAGCTAATGGAAATTAAAAAGCTATCAGAACGTGAACAAAACAGTCATTCTAATTACGACCATATCCTTTTTTGGAAGAATAGACAGAAAGACAATTTGATTAAAACGATAGGTAAATTACGTTTATTTATTTGAACACATAAATATTGGTACAATGTAGCACTGAATACATATGCGTCACTTGGTTTCTGTGGGTTATGATACTGCCCATGTGTTCAAACAGAAGCAGGCGGTCTTCTTAGGGAGCCACGCCAGAAGCCTTCAACCTAAAGGTCTGATTTACAAAATAGTGGAGCAACGTAAGGAGATGCATTCCTATGGTAGTCAATGACCAACAATTGGCTCATACTCCATTTGTTCCTTCAGGATTTTGGAGCCCACGTGCACCATTTGTTTTGAATCATGGTTTTCCAACTCCTGTAGGTGAACCCTCTGTATCCACCAACCCGGTTAATATAAACCACAATAAGTACGACAGTGCCCCCCCCCAAATAAACCTTCTTTAAACAATGTAGAATTTTAGTAATCATCAAGATAAAAGACTTTGTAAGAGTAAAAAAAATTAATAAATGGATAATCACTTAACACAACAGTAAGTCAATTTTCGCCACTGCAAACCATTTTGAAATAAAAACGAAAAATAGGTTACGAGGAATTTAGAATCCCATAATTTGGGAAGGAAAAAACGGATGCACCTGCGTGGTTGCAAACGATTTTGAGTCACTTCATTCAAAATCCCTAACCATTGGTTACGATAATCACGCGGACCCCAACCAGTTAGTCTACACCGATTAACATGGTCAAGTCCATTCGTCAAAGGCCTCATCTACTGATGCTATATTTTGGTTTGGCCAGACATAGCTTTATCCCAATCTATTGTTACACCGTCCAGGTATGCGGTCGTTCGGCATATGCAGCACATGTCCTAACTAGCACAGATAGTGAAGATTTACTACCTCATCTATCGACTTTCCATCCTTAACTAGTACTCTATTCCTAACCTAGACATTTCTTACCCAGTGCTCCCAAAACACACAAGCAATGCTTCGTAGACA